TAAAAACACAAAACGCCACACAATAGTATCCAAAACACTGCTAGAATTTATTTACCGGTATTTTAAAAAAAAAAGTCCTGTTGACACATGATCTCTAAACTAATTTACCAGTACAGAAAGTGTGCGTGAAAGGGGCTATTATCTTTTCTAGCCGAACCGCTATTGGAGCTTTGAGGCTGTACATTTTATTTGTGGACTAGACTGTTTTTGCAATCAGAATTATACTTTTTATAAAGAAAATGGGGGGAAAAAACTAAAAAAGTGAGAAAACTACAGGGGAACTGATGCAAGCGCACATTGAAAATGTTAAACATGGCCGGTCCGATTATACTATTGCTTACAACAGGTTTGCCTGAACAAAAGGAGCACTTGAAAATAAGCTTTAAGCATTGCTGTGAATGAGAACGTCTTCTAAACCAATGAAAATACTGTAAATACTGACTCTGCACTGAAAACGCCAGTAGCCTGGAGCTTTGTCGCTTGTTGCTAAAGGCACACTGCCATCCATGATGGTATCTGATTCAAGGGAATACGTGCAGTATATGTTTATTTATTTTTGCCTCTGGTGTGAGTATATGTGTGTGCACCTGTCCATGTGGATGCTTGCGTGTGTGTGTGTGAGTGTGAATCCTGGTCGATGGGGCAGTGGAGTCTGGCTCTTTCCTGTTGCTGCAGAGGCACTGCAGTGGCACTCGCGACTGCTGCTCTATGCAAATGTAATTACAGGGCAGACACCGTGTGGCATCCGAAATGAGGGACGCTCACTGTTTTATATGATTTTGGTATGTCTGCTTTTGTTTACATCAGTTTCTGTCACCAAATGTCACCCCACCCTGTTTATTTAACCCTTGTGCTGTTCTGAAAACCTTTACCTAATTTGGTGTTTCTGGTCAAAAATGACTGGCCTTTTGAAAATTGCTTGTAAATCTCTTGTTAATACTATATTGTCACCAAATCTTGGATTTAATCTTTTTGTCAACTTGTTTTCTTTCAATTAGCACAGGGTTTTATTTATTTCTGGACTGGTTGTAGGCCTCATTGATCTGAGTTTATGGACCTCGGTTTTTGAGTGAAAAAACAATATTTGTGGATCATTGTGGCATTGGTCACTCAAAAACTGAGGTGCATGAACTCTGATCAATGACACCCTTGATCAATCAGTTCCAAAAACAAAAACAAAACTCATGTTAATTCAAAGAAAACAGGTTGATAAAAAAGATTGAATCCAGTATTTGGCAAGAAAATAGCATAATGAGAAACTTGTTAGCAATTGTTTTGTAGGTTGTTCATTTTAGAGGTGGAGCAAGGTGGAAAAACCTCCAAAAAAGTACCAAAAATATTTTTGGGAAGTTGCTATACCCTTTGTGAGCAACTTCGGTAAGTTTTAGTCCAATGCGATAACATTAACTAACAATTTTGAGAAATAGAAAATCTCTCCGGGTCACAGCATGAGGGTTAAAGGGAAAGGAATCAAAAGGAATGACGTTATTTTAGAAAGACTTATGGCCTGGTTGTTTGTTCAGTCTGTTTGAAGTATGTGGAGCAGAGGCCATGCTGGTGACGTCTCCCTCGCAACATGGCTAGTCTTGTAAAAGCCACTGTGCACAGAAGCCTTGAGATTCCAGTAGTGGCACTAGGGTTCTTTATGGTTTTCCATCCAACTTTAGTCCAAGGTCGTAGCCATGGAGTTGAACTGGTCGAAAACGTCCGTCCAAGGTTTCGTTGTGGTCTCATTATCATGTGTTTGGATCCATGCTGCATTCAGTTAAGGTTGTTCTTAACTGAATTTACCATTGCTCTGTTCAATTGCTCTGTGAATTCAATGCAATCGATTCCCTACACAGACTTGGTCATGCGAATTTGTGCTGAACAACAGAAAGTTGCTTGGTTTTAAAATGATTTCTGTGTTTCTTGTACATCTCTACACGAAATGGATATTTTTTCCCTAAATTTTGCCTACAGTTTAGTCAGCATGAAATCAAAATCATCCCTATTTGCTTTCTTCGCGTCGGTTCCTGGTCTTATTGAGATTTATTGATCCACATTATTCCAGAGAAAAAATTTTGCCTCTGTAATATTTTAGCAAAATTGTAAACGGCCACTGTTCAAGATTTAAATCATTTCTGATGGCTAAAATCGCATTAGAGAAGTAAATTGTTTAGCCTACTGTTTTATGTTAACTTTAAGAATCTGAGACCAGACTTTTCAGGTCACCATGAATCCGAACAAATTCAACTTGATCTCATGAGAAAACTTTCTTTTTTTACACGGTGGCGATTTCATATTAATGTGATTTGTACAATTTTCAGAAAATAGTAAGCATGACGTTTCACTCCTAAACCTAACCCACAGGTCGTACAAAAATATACCAATACGAATTAGCCACCAATTCGCCAAAGTAAAACGGTTTGAATTGCAGTGAGAGTTGTGTTGGGTGAATCCAGTAGTGCTATGACGCTACTGGGTTATTCTCACTTGTTTGCTACTATATGAAAAGCAAGGTTTTTGTGGGACTGGCTTCTTCCTCTAGCGCAGTGAATATATCAGGACAGACCTCTGCAGGACTGATGCAATACTTTAGAGAGGCAAAAAAAGCCGATCATTTCAAGCTGCTTGTTTTGTGGTCTCATCTGTGAAGAGATGTTTCAGTATATAAGGGCATTCAGTCATTACTTGTACATTAGCACGTTTCTTGTCAATAATGTGCCACTGAGGACTGTATTTAGCTGATGTGCCTCAGAATTCATATCACTGTGAGTCCCAGTGAGACTTGCACACTTACGAAAAACAATAAAACACATTTAAAGGACAGAAATGTAGCTATTTAACAGCCATCTACGGTCACAACTTTTACCATCATCTAACATTTTGGCTTTGGTTTCACAGAAAAGTTCAACTTCATTAAAACGTATTATAAATAAAGCAACTCAAGAGTAATGGTTTTGGCAGACTGGTACTAAAATGCCGCAAGTCAACTTATATAAATGTACTATTTTAATACAGTATGTCTTCTGAATGTGTTATAATGATGCATTAGGAATTGAAGAGTTAAATCAGGGAGCCAAATGTTGCTGTTTCTTTCATTTGTGTCCTGATTGTGACAATACCATCTTAAGTCTGTGAAGAATGAACGATATGCATGAACATTTGGTAATCGGAGCCATCTGATATGTTGATGTATGTCGCTTGGATTTATAGCAACAGCTGTAAAAATGTTTATTGGGCATAAAATAGACACCAGTTTCCTGGTACACTCTGGACTCATGAGAAAAACGTATGTGCATGAATGACTGCAAGCTGTCACCGGCTGAATCCTCCTCACATATGCAGGGAGGAGTTCTGGAATCTTTGGAGCAGCAGAGGCATTAGATCGGGATGCCAGTTCATTGCTTTGCACTCTTTGTTTTGAAATGGCTTTGTGTGGCTGATCCCGTTACAAAAAGTTCTCTGTTTAAAAGTGTGTTTCTGTCCGCTCCTCTTTATAAAGTCATCTCTCACCCCTGCCCTAGTTATAATTTCTTGCAATGATTTTTTGAAAGTAGGAAACTGAGGACATAATCATGTGTTTCTGAGTACAAGCGCTGATGCTATGTATTGATACAGATATATTTGAGAAAAATATTTTTCCCCCCTTTGCTTTTCTACGTATGTGCTGTGCACAGCAGTTTAATCATATTCCTGATGTTATAAAACTATTTTCTTTTCTTTTTTTCTTTTATTTCATTTGCGTGTGTTTTTGTTACACATTTCAATTATGCTCAAAGTAGCAAGTACAGTGAGCAGTCATGCACAGTGTGCCCAGAACTGATTCTTTTCTAGAAATAACGCTGTCAGGATGTCACACTCATACAGGACCATTTATACAAAATGACAACAGTTCAATAAACTTCTTCCCTGGTTATTTGATGTTTTGTTTCTGATTCATATGCAAAACTTGACAGTTAAAATGCGTCCACTGGATCCAGTTTCTCCGTAAAAGTTTTTTTTTTTCATAATGTTAAACATTATGAAATGTTTGCATTTTTGAGAGATAGTCATTACTTCTCCAAGCCCAAATTATGGTTGATACTTTACAAATTGCTTTCAAAATACAAATTTACTAATTGTTTCTATTTTGAAATTCTAAACTATAAATAGAAAAGTAAAGTATTAAAAAATAAATAATATGATACAAATATAAAAGATATTTACAGTCATTCGTTTATTATGTATGTTGCTATATCATGTTATTATATATTGTTGTATATGAATATGGTTTATTTTTTATGTTTATTTATTTATGTATTTATTTTTTAATTTGAACAATTTCACCGTTATTGCGCACAGCTTTGCTCATGTTCAGCTTTTTGGTGCGTTACTTGTTCGTGAATGAGGCACAGGTTCCCTCTGCTGGCCAACTTGAGGAAGTTCAGACTGGGGTCATACTAACTACAGTATATATATCCGTTCAGTACACTAATCATGCAGTCACCTAATACAGGTACAAAACTGTCACTCGGGGGTATAATATGATGGACTTTTAAAGTACTAATATGTGACATTTTGGTGTAAATTAGGTCAAAAGATGTAGGCTACCTTTTACCTTTCGTATCTAAAGATACACCCCTCTGTACATGTTTTTATTGGTTAGACAATCCTAAGTAGCCTAAATAAACGTGGTAAGTAGATTTAGCATTTGAAAAACATCGGGAGACAACCAACTGATTCTCACATGCACAAAAACTATTCAAATGTATTCTTGTTTTCAGTTTTGTTTGTTGTCAGGATACATAGAAAGTCAAAGCTGTGCCAAATTGACAAGTCAGTTATGGTTTACCAGTCAATTACCTTCATATCAAACAGAAGGTGGACATGTTGAATCCGCCTCCTCACATCCTCTGGCTCTGCGGGCGAGTGTTGCGTAAAGGAGTGGCACAGGATGCGTTTAAATAGCCGCGCTCCCAAACTTTTACGCATCACAACTCCTTCAGCTCTGCACACTGGTTTTGCGCTTCGTGAAGATGCGTTGCGCACTTTCCAAACTGCACATGCTGCGCTCCTCCGTCCTTGCGCTGTGGATCACGGCTCTCCAGGGATTCCGATCTACGGATGCTGCCCCTAACCCCTCTCCCGTCCTGGGCTCCAGCTGGGGGAACCCGCGGAGGTACATCCATCTTCAGACCACCTCGGACTTAAACAACTTCTACTTGGAGATCAGCCCGAATGGACATGTGCGCAAAACTACAAACCGGGGGTCCTACAGTGAGTGGCATATCCTGTTTTTGATCAGCATAATATCCATATTTAGGATATTAGGCCAGTAACATAAAAATCAGTCTATGAATCATGAATAATTGTTGTTTTATATAGCCTATGTATTTCTCATTGTTTTATCTATGAAATAATGTCCTTCTTATTCCTCTTCGTATTCTGCATTCAACAGGTGTCATTTTATTGAAAGCAGAGAGCAGAGACCGTCTGGCAATATTTGGAGTGAAAAGTAACCGATTTTTATGTATGGACGCAGGAGGAACTCTTTTCACATCTGTAAGTATTCAAACTAATTAAAAACAAGCTATAAAAAGTAATCTATTATTATATTATTAATATAAATACAGTTATATAAGTGCGGTTGGTATGGAATCTAAAAATGGTAACATTGAATTTAACTGGTTTTATTCAAATGCTATTTAGTGTCACAGAATAAACCTAAATACATTAATTTATGCAAAGAATTTAAATATTATGGGTTAGATAAAGTAGAAATAGCTCTAGCAATTGCAGGTCACCAGATGTACAGTATAATAGCCTATCTACAAAGGTTATAGCCAATAATGTTCGCATTTTAACGTTAAACATTTTTAAAACGCTAAAAACTTCTTAATTGGTTAACAAGTTTTTTTTAACTATAGTATCATTAGCCTATATCAGATAATAAAATATAGCCTACGTTTTTATTTATTTATTTATTTATTTTACTATAAATAAAAGTTCATTCTAATTTTTTTCTACTATTTTTACAGATTTTTTTTTCTACAGTAGGTGAAAGCGCAAGAAAATGTAGCTATGAAGCTTGAAATAAGTTTGAATAATTATTTAACTATTTGTATGTTTTTATGTCTTTAGACTGTTTGCAGTAAGGAAGACTGTCTTTTTCACCACAAACTTTTGGAAAACCATCGTGACGTGTATTACTCCACCAAGCATGGCATACTGCTTAACCTGGACGGGGCGAAACAGGTGTTCATAGCGGGACAGAACCTCCCTCAGTCCTCTCTCTTCTTATCAGAGAAGAACACTGTTCCACTGGAGCGCCTGCAGCACCGGGAGAGGAGAAACCGACAGGTGAATCCATCAGACCCGCTGAACGCGCTCCGGTACGCAGAGGCGTCAGACTCCAGAGCTGCTCAAGAGGACGATGGGGACTTAGACTTTGAGCCGTCAGAGGGTCAAAACATCTCGAGGGAAACCCTGGTTTCTCCTTCCGATGATGACCCGTGGGATCTTCTTCACGACACGAGCCCCGGCAGTCCCCGGATTTCAGCAGTTGTCGGATAAAGTTACAGATCCTCCATGGCGTGACTGTTGAAAGTCGATGCGCCAACGTTAGAGTATGGCACCATAATATTTTCATCATAAATAAGTGTTTTTAAGGACATATATTTCAAACCAACTTCACATGTACGCTCTTAAAAATAAAGGTTTCTTGCAATGATGCCAAGGACCAATTTTGGTTTCCAAAAATAGGCTAACAGATTTTTTTTCTTAGTATGAAGAACATTTTTTTTTCACTGTAAAAAACCTTTGTGCGATATAAAGGTCCCATGACAGTTCATGGAACCATCAATGCTAATAAAGAACCTTTATTTTTAAAAGTAGAAATCTACAGATTATTTATGCTGTTGTGTATCTCCATCTCACCAAACCTGAAAAACCAAAACCTACTTAGTTTTTTGTACTAGTTTTTTTCACCTGCCACCATGAATTTGTCTTTGGTGCTGGACACCACCTGTGGACAACAATTGTCAAACAAAGAAAGTATTTATTTATTTAATGAATTACATATGTTTTATTTGTGGTATTTATATGTTTGCTTTAAGGGTTAGATGTGCAGTGAAATGTTATACTCATTTTAAATAAATAACATTTTGTTTCCTGATTAAAGAAAATGTGTTCTTTTATTTATTTGTGCCTTTGTCTTCAGTAAACCTAAAAAAGGTACAGTAAGTTGATTCAAAATCATCTGTTTGTCACTTGTTGGTTGCTGGACTCCTCATTGGAAATGTAACTGGTTTAACATTGACTTTCCCACCATTAGAGGTGAATAATGAACACTGAATCAGTCTGAAAGATCAATCTGCGCAGTCTCTGAGTCTCTAAGAATAAACCTTTCCACATTCTGTGTTGTTTCCAATGTCAAAGGCTGCACTTTGGCTATTTTTGGATGAAGGGCCTTAAAGAGAGCCAACATTTAAGTTACACTATGACCTGTTTACGCTATATAAGATAGAGATTTGCACTTAGATGATTTGAGGATTATGTTTTGAATTAAGGCAAAACATAGTAACTATAGTTACATTTAACAGTGTTATATAATTTAATAACAAAATAACTAATCCATTACAGTTACAGTGTGCGGGGAAAAAAGTGTAATTAAATTAAAGTGAGTTCCATCTGAATATGTTCTGTAAGGATATGTTGAAGAATACTAATTTGTTGCTTTGCCTGATTTTGATGTGCATGATGCCTTCTGCCACTAAAAGGCAGACTAGTGAAGCCATGCTATTCTGATGCTTTTAATTAGTTCTCTTGTTTAAATCTGCAGCGGACCACATCTAGTTACATCAGTCCACATTGCCACTGAAAGCTTTAGGCTACAACCTGTCTGAGAGTTGATTAACTGATTAAAAGTTGAAAACATTCGTTACAAATAGAAAACTAATCAAAGAGTAATCAGATGTAATCAGTTACATTGCTTTAATAAAATGAAATAGTTACACTACTTATTACGTTTAAATAGGGTAACTTGTGATCTGTGTTACTACATTTGCAAAGTAACCTTCCCAACACTGTATGCATTGTCTTATTAAATCTGCACACATTTCCAAAAGAAAAAGAAAAAATGGGATAAAATCAGGTTCAAAGCCATTTTTTCTTATTAGAGTTAAGAGTTTTTACATAGTTTTAGGGTGTAAGGATATCTCTTCTTATCACACCATAAATCAAAATCGAAAACTGTTAAATAAATCAGGTGAAATAGCCTACAAACAAACTCCTCTGTAAAAACACCCAGAATAAAGAAAGGCGAGAAGAGGATTTGTGAGAAAATGGCATTTAAAGATATTCACTGCAATTGAAATACAAATAACAAATGCAAATATTATGTAACAAACCGTTAAATTATCAATTTTGAATGAGTTCATATTCAATTAGTCTGAAAAAAAAATCATGTTATGGAAGCAAAGCCCAAAACCTCAACATTTCCCAGTGCTGGTGTCTTGCCTAGAGTGAATCTGATATTCTTGTAACATTGGCAAAATGTTAAATACAATTTACAGTTTCTCATGTCAAATGTTAACGTAGTTTGATTTAGCTTATAGGTCTTGCAATAAGAAGAAAAAAATCAATCTGTTTATAATATTTCAAAAGACTATATTTTTCATTACCTCCTACATTTTATTTATTTATTTAGCTATTTATTTATTTATGCCAAAGTATTATTCTAAGTATTTCTTAACCACTTAAGTGTATATTGTTAGAAAAACACGATTAAGAAAATGGACAGAAAATGTTTACAGAAATAACTAACAACTATTTACATCGGTGTACCAACATAAAACTAAATATTTTAATTTATAAATGAAAACATATAGTGTGACGTATTCCCGCGTCCTCGCTTAGCCAATCAGAACCGCATCCGCAGATTCGAGATTTCTATAAAACGCACAAAAAGCTTGTACCAGGTAGAAGAAGTTTCGTCGAAGTTTAACACGCATATAGTAATTAGAGAAATATTACTATATGTGATCAATTACCTAGTGTAAAACTGGAGTCACAACGATAGAAAAGATTGTATTGAATTGCAAATTGGTGTATTCAGATAGATTTCCGTCGTTTGTTTTCAGGCGGGTTGCGTGAGTGAGAATCACCTCGCACCAAAACAACATGCATATAAAACTTAGGACACAACGACAGACTTTCTAATTGACCATTATGTTTTTAAACATACAGTTATCTTGATTGCGGGTTGTTTTGCAGCATAACGTTCAGTAGCTACAAAACGTTAAAACAGCGGTGGTGTCAGTGTTTGAATATATTCACGGGGCATAACGTGACATTTTAGTTTCACTTTTTGATCTAAAGAATGGACCGACCATCCAGGTTCGTATGAATGTTTTTTCTTTCTTTCTCAAATATACCTTAGATTATGGTTGTCATGTCACTTTCTGTATGTGCTTGTTGTTGTATCTGACAGTTGTTTGTCTTTGGCATTTAATGTTCTGATATTTTCATAAACAATCACCGTGATTTCAGACATGTGGAATATCAGTGTCTTGTTTGATGTAATCTGTTTTCTAACGTTAACGTTACCTGTCATCAGGAATAAGAACGCTGTCAACTACACAGACTTCCAAGACGATGATGGTGAGACATTATTACTTCAAAATGCTCAGAACTAAAGCTAGTTAGACCTATAAACATGTTTACACGATTTATCTGACAGATGAGGATTTTGCCTGTGTAAAACCTCCTCCCAAAAAAGCTCGAACGGCCATAAAAGACCCTGATTCTGAGAGAAACCTCAAAACTACAAGTGCCTCTCCAAAGGAAGTTGTTGATCTCACCAGCTCAGGAAGCAGGAAGAGGTTACAAAAAACTATTTGACTTTTTTTGGGGTCTTAAAACACATTTTATTACTAATAATTATAGTATCTCCACATGGACCACTGTGTATACAAATATGTAATGGCGCCATTGTGTTGTTTAAGGGCGTCTCTGGAGAACACACTTTATGAAAGCGATTTGGAGACCGCTCTATCATTATCATTGCTGGACTCTTCAAGAACACAAGATGGAGAGCCTACAACCAAAACAGGTGAATGTACTACTACTATAATAAAGCATCATGGAGTTCATTCAGGAAGTGAAAAGCTATATCTTACTGTTATTTACTGCAGATGAACATGACCGTTCTCAGCCTCCTCAGTGTTCACCACCTATTCTAGTACACTGCAGCGCTGAGGGCAGCCGTTTAGGTAATAATGAATAATTATTTAGCTTTTTACAGGGTCACAAACTGATTATTTTTTCTTTGACTATTTTTACAGATTCTAAGTACATATTTATGGACTTTATTTGACATATTTGCATGCAAAAACCTCTAAACAAAACAAAACTCCCTTGATTTTGTACAGTCAGCGAAGATCAGCCTCGTCCAGATTCTCCTCCTGTGCTGTCCAGTTGTAGCATTGATGGCAGAAGTTTAGGTAACTACAAAATTCTGACTTTGAAATGTGACATTTTTTGAGAACACTATTAAGCTGATATAAAAAACAAACAAGAGTTTTATGAATATTACGTTATGTTACAATATGTGATTTCTGTGTTTATTACTGTTCTGTTTTCAGGGCTGAATCTGATCAGCATAGATGCCTCCCCTACCAGTGTTTCTAAACAGAAGGAAACCTCAGAGGAGCAGAGAAAACCACTGAAGGACAACAGAGACGATGAGGACTACCAGCCTCAGAACACAGCAGGTAATCTGAGGACCTTCGCGCTCATAGTTATTATGGGGCTGGACTGTTTTCAGTGTTTACATGATGAAGCTTAATACTTCAGATACGAAATGTAGCCATGTTTAAGCTTGTTCCTGTTGCAGATTCAGAAAGTGATGCAGACTTTACGGAAGAAGATGAGAGCGAAGACGAGACATTCACTGTGAAAAAGAAACAGAAGACAGAAAAAAAGGCCCCACCAGCTGCAAAGAACAAGACAGAAAAGAAAGACAAAAAGCCAACGAAAGCCTCAAAAGCCAAAGGCTCAGGTACATTTTTTTCTGTTTTAAAATTTTACAGTCTGGTAAAAGACCATATCAACTACGCTAACATTTCTCTTTGTCTGACAGCTCCCAGCCCAGCGATCTGTCGGAGTCCTGCTGCTCCTGTGTCTGGACTGAAGAAGACGCCCACTACTCCGCTTTTCTCTAAACCTGCAGTCTGCTCCAGTCCTGCAGGAGCCAGACTGCCTAAGTGGAATCCCCCTGGTGAGACTAAAGGCTCAAATCATCACTGTGCAGTTGTGAATTTTCAGCAGAACAGCCCACAACAGAAAAGTGTCCTTTTGTAAACTTTCTAACTCCATCTCCAGGTCTGCTTGGCCGGAGTCTTGGTGCGTCTCAGAATGCACATGTGAAGTCTCCAGGACAGGGGTTGCGTTTAGGACTTTCCCGTATGGTTCGAGTCAAACCCCTTCACCCTAATGCTGCTGCGAACTAAACAGACTTGTTTTAAATTCGAAAGCTTTACAATGACTTTCTGGGAACTCGTAGTGCATGGGGCAGGAAAAAAATGGTAAGAAGGAATGGATATTTTTTTACTGAAATTTGTCCAGAATTTAAGACCTTTCATCCCTCGCTTACAATAATATGTAGTAATATGTTTTTTGTTGTGCTTTAAATATTTTTAATGTCTTTTTATGGTGTGGTTTAGCTTTGTAAATATGCACTTTTTGATTAATAAAGATATGCTAAATATGCTAAAATCAGTTTTTCTACGAAAAAAGTAAAAAAAAAATTTTTTAAAAATTAGGAAGTTGTTACACCCTGTGTGAGCAAAGTCATTAAGTTTTAGTCCAATACAATAAACATTAACTAGCATTTTTGGGAAAAGTGATCAGAACACAACATAAGAGTTAAGCAAAGATGTTTTGTAATCTAATAAAATATGAACCACTTTGCATTTAGGTAGTGAAAACATCTTATATTTGCTCCAAGTTAATGTGTTGCATCAAAGTCCCTTTCAAGCATAGGATGTACTCCCTCAGTTAATGCTCAAGCGATGCCTCCCTCTAGTGGTTAAAAAGAAGCATGTGTGGAGGAGAGGAGAACAAGAGGAGATTTTCCTCGCCACAGTCATCTGGGGTGGAGCTTAGTTTTTGTAAAGCTACTTTTGAAAAATATGTATTGTGAAAGCACTATGCAAATAAAGCTGAAAACCAGTTCACCAGCACTTCGTTTTCAGAGTAACTGCAAACAAAAATCTTATGTTAAATGGCCTGTGTAACTTGTTTATTAAATTTTTTAAACCATTTTTATTACATACAGTAATTATTGGTATAACAAGTGTCACCTGTAATTCATAAATGAACATGATATGATCAACTTTAATGTTAACATTTTAAAACCAATTTCCATGTTTTAATGTTTACATTTGAACATTTTTATATCAATTGGATATTTCAGCAACTTTATTTATAATTTATCATTTTTATAGTTCTATTCAGCCTGCAGTCGAAAATCTACAGACCTGTTTTGGTTTATATTGATTGTTGTTATGTTGATGGACTGAAAAGTCGTACCCAGTGTTTAACCAGGATTCAGTGTCCTGGTTTTCTCCCTCCCAATATTGATTAATGTGACCAGCATTAGTATCACAAACACTCAGCAAGCATTAGTTTCACAAATGCTTGAAGCGTACAATGTGAACCAGTACCAGCCTCACAGAGTAACACCTGAAGACGGAAAACATCTAGAAAGCAACTCCTTCTGTGACCTTTGCTGTTCTGATCATCATGAGAATAAGCTGTGTGAAGACTTTGTTTCCAGTCCTGTCTGTTGCTGTGGTGTTTCTCTATATGAGCTCTGTCAAGTGGGAAATCCAAACTCAAGAGAAGCAGCTCCACCAAGTCCAACAGAACTTATCGTTACACAGCGCACTTCTTCTTACCAAGCTGGACAAACTGGAGGCTCATTTAATAGCAGTGGGTGAGTTGATGTAAAATCTTTTTAGCAGTTGAATTGGATTTAAAAACAACAACAAAAGTTGTTTTACTCTTTAAGCAAACTTTAAAATTGTCATGAAATCATAATTGACCATATTTATTTTCTTATGGTTCATCATTTTTCTGTTCCATCAACTTTTTTCTGTGAACCATAATTTTGAAAAAACCTTGACAATTTTTGGGTCCATACAACAGAAGTAAATAACTGTTAGGTTGGCAACAATCTTAAAATTAAAAGTTCTTTATTGGTATCAATGGTGCAAGAACATTTATCCACGGAGCCTTTTCATTGCACAAAAGATTCTTTATAGTGGAAAAACATTCTTTAGATTATAGAAATGCATTTTTTGCATTAGGAAAATAAAATAACCTAAAATGGATCTTCTCTGGCATAGAGTGAACAGTCTTCAAAATATTCTCTTTTTCGTTCTACAGAAGTAAATAACTTGCTCTTTCTTTGATATGAATAACCGTGCAAAAGCCTTCAGTGAGCGATGCAAATGTTGAACGTTTCATTCACTATGAAGATAAAGCGAGTAGTTTTTATCTGGTCATGTAATCTCAACCTGTCTGCCAACTCACTCCCTGGAAATTACAGCTGTTGCTAGACTACTGATATCACTTTTTTGAATGTATTTTTAAATATCTTTTTAAAAACATTTTTCAAGAGTACTATTCAAAATTTTAGAAAAATGAGTGCACCTTAAGTTTTACATGTGCATTTAAATCACTGTTTTGGTGGCTTTGTATTCATTTGAAGCGATTCTTGTCCACAGTGATGTTTAAAATTAAAACATTTTTGCAGAAGAGAAAAGCCTTAAAGTGAGAAATGGGAAGAAGCCAGCTAAGAAGCTGTTCCCAAACTCATACCTCTTCAAGCAATGGACTGTTGAACTTTCTGAGGATGACCAGAGGAAGGCTGAGGAGCTCTTTCAGAAATACGGCTATAATGCCTTCCTCAGTGACCAGTTGCCTCTGGACCGGGAGCTGCCAGACACTCGAGACCACAGGTGAGTTTCAGCGGTTGATGGACATGCTCTGAAATTCAACATCTGTCTTGATGCATTCATCTATTTCTGTAGATGCATTGGCCGTGAATACCCCCACAATCTGCCCACCCTCAGCGTGGTGCTGATTTATCTGGATGAGGCCCTGTCTGTCATTCAAAGAGCCATTTGCAGCATCATCAACAGAACTCCAGCCCACCTGCTCAAAGAGATCATACTGGTGGACGACCACAGCACAAATGGTTTGTTTCTCTCAAAACCCCATCCAACCCTCGTCTCAGATGCATATTGTGCACAAAATGAGCTATTAATTCTGTCTGTATCTCTTCTGCAGAAGACCTGAAAACACAGCTACATGTTTATATCAGCTCCATCAATGAGAAGCACCCAGGCCTGGTGAAGATGGTGACCCATTCAGAGCAGAAAGGACTTTCCCAGGCCAGAATCTCAGGGTGGAAGGCTGCCACTGGGGATGTGGTTGCCATTTTGGACGCCCACATTGAGGTCCATGTCAAATGGTGTGAAACTGCTCAGTTGACTTCAGTATTTGGCAATAAATTAAATATTTGTTCAGCTATATGAGATTCTCTGTCTTAAAACAATATGCATAACTGGTGCGAAGCAGTGTTGTTTGAGTATTATTTATATGCTATTGTAGTATTTATTAATATTTTTAATTAGCATTTATTTTAAAAGTTTTCATTTTAATTTCAAGATTTAATAATTTTGATATGTTTTGTCATTTTTATTCATTTTTGCAATATTTCTATTTATACTGAATTTAGTTTAAGTATTTTAGTACTTCAACTTAAAGTGTGAAACTGTTTCATTGTCTGTCAGTAACCTAAACATTTGCTCAGTTAGCTGATAATCATGCTCCACCTTTATTTATTTTTTAAACTACAATCAAAACTGGTTTATTGGTATTAAGGTGTATGTAATGTTTCTCAAGTACTCTCTCTCTTTTAGGGCGGAGCCTCTGCTTGCACGTATCCAGTCTGACCGTACGCTGGTCCTGAGCCCTGTGTTTGATAAAGTCAATTACTACGACTTGCAAGTGACAAAATATTTCGCCTCTGCTCATGGTTTTGACTGGGCTCTCTGGTGCATGTACGTGGGATTCCCACAGAAGTGGTACGATCAAAAAGACCCTTCACAGCCAGGAAAGTGAGTGTGTGTTGTTGGTTTAATATTTTATAATGGAATCCACCCCAAATGAGAGCGTAAAAGATCCTTCTGCTCTGCCTGTTCTCCAGGAGTCCCTCTGTTATGGGAATACTCGTGATTGATCGTCTGTTCTTTGGTGAGATTGGGACTCTGGACGGAGGGATGGAGGTGTACGGAGGAGAAAATGTTGAATTAGGAATACGGGTAATTCACAAACGTGTTGATCATTCTCCTAAATGATACTATATTAAACTCTAATTATACCACTGGGCTGTTGAATGCTTGGTATTGATTGATTGATTATTATTTCAATAAACGCACAGCTTATGAAGTAGTTCCAGGTCTGTAGACCGCATTACAGTTCACTTCGCCAAGTTATTTCTTTCAGTTATTTCAAAGGTCCTTACTGCCTACAACAGCAAATGATCAAAAAACCCCTAAAGACATTGACCAAACAAACAAATATGACGATAACAATAAATAAAAACAATTTGACAAAAGGACAAAAACCTGTCCTGAAATATCTGAACAATGTCTTCCTGATTTTTTGTAACTGTGGTACAAGCTGAAAAATGCACATCTCATGTGTAACGGCTGCTTTACCTCTTGGCTGCATTACAAACTCAGTTGTTCTTTTTTTTTTTCTTTTTCAATAATTGAACAACAGCTGTCAGTTATTACCAATGTAATATAGTATATTTGGTAGCCATAGTGCACAGTGTTGACTTTTTCCTTCACATGTTTTGGCTCAGGTGTGGCTGTGTGGAGGAAGTATAGAGATTGTACCCTGCTCAAAAATTGCTCACATCGAGAGGGCACACAAACCCTACATGCCTGATCTTAGCAATGTCATGAAGAGAAATGCCCTGAGAGTGGCAGAAGTTTGGATGGATGAATACAAGATAAATGTGAACATCGCCTGGGGTCTTCCTATACAGGTAAATGTAATTAAAAGTTACTTTCTTAAATTCTGGATTTTCAAGGCCAGTTGATTCAGATTCAGTCTGAGACCTCTAAAGTGAACCAAGAGGTTCGAAATGTTAAATTGTTCTGGCTCTTATGATCTGCAAATGATCCTGTGTATCTGTTCTCTACTTTTCCCACAGAACCATGGGATAGATATTGGCGATGTATCAGAGAGAAAGAAACTGAGAGAAAGGCTAAATTGCAAGCCATTTAAATGGTATCTGGAAAATGTCTATCCTCAATTAAATCCCATGAATTTATTAGCTTATGGAGTGGTGAGTGACATACAGTTCAATATGAATAAAGTCTGAGAGATCAGTTCTACAGGAAAAATGATGAAGGGTTTGATGTCCTTATTTCTGTCAAAACAGCTGATTAATGATCTGCAAACAAGTTTATGTTTGGATAAGGGGCCACTTGAGGAGAACACTCCCATTTTATATCCATGTCATTTCATGGGATCTCAGGTAACCTCCTCCCCTCCCCTCCCCTGCATTTTTAAACTCTGTATTTGGGGAATAATTGACACACTTCAGTTTCTCATCACACAGATATTTTATCATACGACACGAGGTGAGATATTTGCACATCCCCTTCAGTCCCTTAAAAACAATAGGAACCGCTGTCTAATTGATCCCGGCTCAGGCAAGTTTCCAGAGCTGTCCTGGTGCTCAGACACTGAAAAACCAACCCCTAAAGACATTGACCAAACAAACAAATATGACGATAACAATAAATAAAAACAATTTGACAAAAGGACAAAAACCTGTCCTGAAATATCTGAACAATGTCTTCCTGATTTTTTGTAACTGTGGTACAAGCTGAAAAATGCACATCTCATGTGTAACGGCTGCTTTACCTCTTGGCTGCATTACAAACTCAGTTGTTCTTTTTTTTTTTCTTTTTCAATAATTGAACAACAGCTGTCAGTTATTACCAATGTAATATAGTATATTTGGTAGCCATAGTGCACAGTGTTGACTTTTTCCTTCACATGTTTTGGCTCAGGTGTGGCTGTGTGGAGGAAGTATAGAGATTGTACCCTGCTCAAAAATTGCTCACATCGAGAGGGCACACAAACCCTACATGCCTGATCTTAGCAATGTCATGAAGAGAAATGCCCTGAGAGTGGCAGAAGTTTGGATGGATGAATACAAGATAAATGTGAACATCGCCTGGGGTCTTCCTATACAGGTAAATGTAATTAAAAGTTACTTTCTTAAATTCTGGATTTTCAAGGCCAGTTGATTCAGATTCAGTCTGAGACCTCTAAAGTGAACCAAGAGGTTCGAAATGTTAAATTGTTCTGGCTCTTATGATCTGCAAATGATCCTGTGTATCTGTTCTCTACTTTTCCCACAGAACCATGGGATAGATATTGGCGATGTATCAGAGAGAAAGAAACTGAGAGAAAGGCTAAATTGCAAGCCATTTAAATGGTATCTGGAAAATGTCTATCCTCAATTAAATCCCATGAATTTATTAGCTTATGGAGTGGTGAGTGACATACAGTTCAATATGAATAAAGTCTGAGAGATCAGTTCTACAGGAAAAATGATGAAGGGTTTGATGTCCTTATTTCTGTCAAAACAGCTGATTAATGATCTGCAAACAAGTTTATGTTTGGATAAGGGGCCACTTGAGGAGAACACTCCCATTTTATATCCATGTCATTTCATGGGATCTCAGGTAACCTCCTCCCCTCCCCTCCCCTGCATTTTTAAACTCTGTATTTGGGGAATAATTGACACACTTCAGTTTCTCATCACACAGATATTTTATCATACGGCACGAGGTGAGATATTTGCACATCCCCTTCAGTCCCTTAAAAACAATAGGAACCGCTGTCTAATTGATCCCGGCTCAAGCAAGTTTCCAGAGCTGTCCTGGTGCTCAGACACTGAAAAACCAAAACACATGTACTGGGATTTCAAACAGGTGAGCAAATAATTACACCCCAAACATTGATAGGATACTGTGGTATATTATAATCGAAACATTGCTTGGAAAAAAATCATATTCTTGTTTGTTTTCAGGGACAGGCCATACAGAACAGAGAAACCAAACGCTGTCTGGAGATCAGCGCTGATCAGACAGGAAAGTATGAAAAGAACATTTTTCTTCAGGACTGCAGAAACCAACACTGGAACATACAGAATGTAGTTCAGGACTTATGAAATGCAATATGTAATCATTTTATATGAAAATGGCATCCTAGAGAAACATCACAGAAAGAGTTAGTGGTAAAAATGTGAATGAAGCTATGTATGAACTGAAAAATATTAGGTGCCAAAAAATAACACAAATATCATATGGCTGATGAAAGTAAAAATACAATTTAAAGTCAAAGAGGATTAAGAGAATAATAATAATGTCTTATTGCAGTTCAAATAGAATCAAATATAAAACATTTAAATTGGCATCAGAGAATGGTGAAAATATCAGTGGATACTTGAAGTAAATATGTTACATCTAATGGGTTTAGCTGACAAAAAATTTGGGAACCCTTGATAAAGAGCAAGAGAACATATATTAGCCTACACGTTTTTTTTTACAGTGTACTTCATTAAATCAATTATAAACCCCATTTTCAACATACTACGCAGGGAAATAAATGTCCGTTTCAATTTTTTAGAAGTACAGTTTTATGTAAACATATGCGGGTACTCTACTTCAAACAAAACTTGAGTAATTAAAAGCCACAGCTAATGAGGATGGGGCATGTTGTCACAGAATGTCAAAGTATATTAATGCAATAGTTCAACCAAAAATGATTCTTTCATCATTTACTCATCCTCACACAAAAGGAGATATTTAGTGGAATGTCCAGACTGTTGTTTTCTGGGACTTCTAAAACCATATGATGGCTAAGTGTGATGAAGCTCAAAGTTTAAGTGGCTATTCTGTAAAAACCTTGATTTTTAAATGCAAGAGAAGCAGCTCTACCAAGTCCAGCAGAACTTCTCGTTACACAGCGCTCTTCTGCTCAAGCTGGACAAACTGGGGTCTCATTTAATAGCAGTGGGTGAATTACTGATATAAGTTTTGCTGCAGTGTTGTTTTAGACTTTGAATACTTGGTGAACACAAAACAGAAGAGAGAAGCGAGGTTCGAAATGTTAAATTGTTCTGGCTCTTATGATCTGCAAATGATCCTGTGTATCTGTTCTCTACTTTTCCCACAGAACCATGGGATAGATATTGGCGATGTATCAGAGAGAAAGAAACTGAGAGAAAGGCTAAATTGCAAGCCATTTAAATGGTATCTGGAAAATGTCTATCCTCAATTAAATCCCATGAATTTATTAGCTTATGGAGTGGTGAGTGACATACAGTTCAATATGAATAAAGTCTGAGAGATCAGTTCTACAGGAAAAATGATGAAGGGTTTGATGTCCTTATTTCTGTCAAAACAGCTGATTAATGATCTGCAAACAAGTTTATGTTTGGATAAGGGGCCACTTGAGGAGAACACTCCCATTTTATATCCATGTCATTTCATGGGATCTCAGGTAACCTCCTCCCCTCCCCTCCCCTGCATTTTTAAACTCTGTATTTGGGGAATAATTGACACACTTCAGTTTCTCATCACACAGATATTTTATCATACGACACGAGGTGAGATATTTGCACATCCCCTTCAGTCCCTTAAAAACAATAGGAACCGCTGTCTAATTGATCCCGGCTCAAGCAAGTTTCCAGAGCTGTCCTGGTGCTCAGACACTGAAAAACCAAAACACATGTACTGGGATTTCAAACAGGTGAGCAAATAATTACACCCCAAACATTGATAGGATACTGTGGTATATTATAATCGAAACATTGCTTGGAAAAAAATCATATTCTTGTTTGTTTTCAGGGACAGGCCATACAGAACAGAGAAACCAAACGCTGTCTGGAGATCAGCGCTGATCAGACAGGAAAGTATGAAAAGAACATTTTTCTTCAGGACTGCAGAAACCAACACTGGAACATACAGAATGTAGTTCAGGACTTATGAAATGCAATATGTAATCATTTTATATGAAAATGGCATCCTAGAGAAACATCACAGAAAGAGTTAGTGGTAAAAATGTGAATGAAGCTATGTATGAACTGAAAAATATTAGGTGCCAAAAAATAACACAAATATCATATGGCTGATGAAAGTAAAAATACAATTTAAAGTCAAAGAGGATTAAGAGAATAATAATAATGTCTTATTGCAGTTCAAATAGAATCAAATATAAAACATTTAAATTGGCATCAGAGAATGGTGAAAATATCAGTGGATATTTGAAGTAAATATGTTACATCTAATGGGTTTGGCTGACAAAAAATTTGGGAACCCTTGATAAAGAGCAAGAGAACATATATTAGCCTACACATTTTTTTTACAGTGTACTTCATTAAATCAATTATAAACCCCCTTTTCAACATACTACGCAGGGAAATAAGTGTCCGTTTCAGTTTTTTAGAAGTACAGTTTTATGTAAACATATGCGGTTACTCTACATCAAACAAAACTTGAGTAATTAAAAGCCACAGCTAATGAGGATGGGGCATGTTGTCACAGAATGTCAAAGTATATTAAAGCAATAGTTCAACCAAAAATGATTCTTTCATCATTTACTCATCCTCACACAAAAGGAGATATTTAGTGGAATGTCCAGACTGTTGTTTTCTGGGACTTCTAAAACCATATGATGGCTAAGTGTGATGAAGCTCAAAGTTTAAGTGGCTATTCTGTAAAAACCTTGATTTTTAAATGCAAGAGAAGCAGCTCTACCAAGTCCAGCAGAACTTCTCGTTACACAGCGCTCTTCTGCTCAAGCTGGACAAACTGGGGTCTCATTTAATAGCAGTGGGTGAATTACTGATATAAGTTTTGCTGCAGTGTTGTTTTAGACTTTGAATACTTGGTGAACACAAAACAGAAGAGAGAAGCCCCAAAGTGAGAAATGAGAGGAAGCCAGCTAAGAAGCTGTTCCCAAACTCAAATCTCTTCACGCAATGGAGGAAGGCTGAGGATCTCTTTCAGAAATACGGCTATAATACCTTCCTCCGTGATCAAATACATCTGGACAGGGAGCTCAAAATCGGGATGTTCAAGGCCAGTTCTAGAAGTCTTGAGGTATTGATTCTGTCAGGTTTGGTAGAGACCTCAGTTTGAAATGTTTGTTTGTTTTGGGTCTTCATTAAATTTATGATCTGCATTGAAGTTTTGCATTTTAAAATATGTTTGACTTTTCCCAGTTTGGGTCCTATTTTTTTATGGGTGTTTATTCATTTTGTTGAGATAAGTCAGTAGAGACACGACAGGAACGTACTAGGATGAGGGAGGGGAGGGGGATTGGCAAAGGACCTCAAGACGGGAATCAAACTTGTTTAGTCGTGAGCGCAGTTGCGCTATATGTCGAAGCACTAACCACAAGGCTATTGGCGCCGACTTATTTGGGTCCTATTTAATAATAAAAAATGACAGGTGTTAATTGCAGGATACATGATTCATTTGCATAACCAGAGTGTTTCTTTATAAATTAACAATTTTACAATAGCTACTCTCAATAATGTTATCTCTTTCTAACGAAGGTTTTCAGTGCTGCAGGTCATTGTAAATACTCAAAACCATAAAACTCTTTGTGAACGTTCTCACATTGATAGTCTCAGTTAAATGTGAGCCAAAATCATCACAATTAAAAGAACCAAAGACTTAAACTACTTCAGTCTGTGTGCATTTAATTTATTTAATACACGAGTTTCACAATTTGAGTTGAATTACTGAAATAAATGAACTTTTCCACGACATTCTAATTTATTGAGATGCACCTGTACATGGTTTTGGTCTCTTTTGAAAGGTGACACTCTGAGGTGTGTTTCTCAGCAGTCAGAATCACTGTAAGTCTTATTGGTATTGAGTAATAGAACTTTGAACACACTGAAAAATAAAATAAAAAAGCCACTTACATTTTTTTTGTAAACAGATACCTGCATATGACTATAGCTGGGAGCTATTAGCTGGAAAATACATTTGGATCACAGAATAAAGTCTTACCAAGCAAAATGTTTCAAATTTGATAAAATAATTTTGGGCTCTAATGAAAGCTTACACTTAGACCTATTCAATTTCTTAACAAGAAATCATTCACTGTCAATAATTGCTGACGCATAGTAACTGAAGCATAAAAAGGAAAGGAAAGTGACGTGACATGTGGCCAAGTATGGTGACCCATACTCGGAATTAGTGCTCTGCATTTACCCATCCAAAGTGCGCACACACACAGCAGTGAACACACACAAACCGTGAACACACACCCGGAGCAGTGGGCAGCCATTTATGCTGCGGCGCCCAGGGAGCAATTGGGGGTTCGGTGCCTTGCTCAAGGGCACCTCAGTCGTGGTATTGAAGGTGGTAGAGAGTGCTGTACATTCACTCCCCCCACCTACAATCCCTGCCGGTACGAGACTCGAACCCACAACCTTTGGGTTATGAGTCCGACTCTCTAACCATTAGGCCACTTCACATCACCGAGGACCTCACCTGGACTACTCACACACAGTCAGTAGTGAGGAAGGCCCACCAGCGTCTCTTCTTCCTCAGGCGACTGAAGAAATTTGGTCTGAGCTCAAAAATCCTCAGACAGTTCTACAGTTGCACTGTGGAGAGCATCCTGACTGGCTGCATCACCACCTGGTATGGGAACTGCACCGCTCTCAACCGCAAAGCCCTGCAGATAGGGTGCGAACTACGGGGGAGCTAGGGGGAGCTTGGCTTCCCTTAATAAGACATGGGCTCCCCTGAAAACGTGATTTGTGAATTTTTTGGGGGGGTTTCAAAAAATATTGACAATGTATTATTTTGATGTGCAATTTCAGTTTTGTGTAATGTGATCATCATGGATTATTATGTGTAAAATTGCAAAAATATCATTCATTCATGCATGACGGCGATTTAAACCTAATTCACTTCAATAAAGATAACTATACATGCTATTCTTGTCATGAGCATCAAGGTGTGGGGGCGCTGCGGTGCAAATTCCACTCATGTTTAGTACATGTTAACTCAAAGATTCGTCGAAAAAATATAAACGTTGGACTCTGGTCGATTCTGTGTTAAGGTAAGTCAAGTCAAGTCTGCTTTATTGTCAATTCTTCCACATGTACAGCACATACACACAGAGAATTGAAATTGCGTTACTCTCAGACCCTTGGTGCATACAGATAACACTAACAGTAGAACATAAATACAGATAGATACAGATTAAATAT